CCAACTTTTGATTGGTTCAATTTTCTTAATAACAATATTAATAATAATTAATTCAACTGCATAGCTTATTATTTAATGTAATTGTTTCTTAATAGTTTGATGATTTGTAATATATTTGATAACAAAATTACACTGTTATTATAGTTATTATTATTATTTATGATGTTGATGTTGATGATTACATCATCATCTCGACAATCTGCCCACGCATACATACATATAATACATAATACATAATACATATGATTGTTTTAGTAATAATGCATAATACTAATCATTACTACTACTGATACACTACTACTATTATTATGATATGGCGCACATGAATAGTTGAACAATAATTACAACGGTAATGAATATCATTTTATCCGGAACTAATCATCATCATCATCATCATCACCATCTTTTCACGACAAATTTCATTTTACGTAGTAGCATAATTACGCATTATATACAAAGCAGTTATATGACACACTACTTATATTTATTGATTCTTTTAACTGAAGTCAATTGTAGAAAACAACTGAATTCAAATATTACTAGCACTAATGGTAACAATCCTATCATGATTCATGGGATTAGTACAATCAATAAACCATCCCTACTACATGATACCATGGATAGTACAAGTCCAAGAGCATACGATGATTCAGGGCGACGAATTAACAGTAATAATAATAATAATAATGATCCTGTTGGATCAGTAACACTTCAATTGGCGTTTATTGTTATTGAAGAAGTGAAAATAGGCAGTTTAATAGGGAATTTATTAGATAAATTACATTTACACAATCCAAATTGGTTAATGACCACTCATTCATCAAATAATAATAATAAAAATAATAATAATAATCTATTTGTTAATTTAAAACCAATCCCATATGTGAATTTAAATCAAACCACTGGAGATTTAACAGTACGTGCACGAATTGATCGTGAGACATTATGTGATACAATGGGAACATGTTGTCATTTGAATCGACCAATGGATTGGTCAACTAATAACGATAATCATAATAATCATAATAAATTACAAATCATGAATAATGACAAGTATCTAGAACAATTATCAATGATTTCTTCCGATTGTGCATTACGTATGTTAATTTTATATCATACAGACAGTGAACAATTCTTAGAGATTATCATTTATATATTAGACATTAATGATAATCCCCCAAGATGGATACAGTCAGTGATTGAATTAGAAATACCAGAACATACCACCATTGGAACAGGATATCAACTGCCTGAAGCTATTGATCCAGATCAAGGACCTATGCATACAGTGGTAGCTTATGAATTAGAAAATAAGCTATTCAAAAAAGGTATTGATCGAACTAGTAGAGATTATTATTATTCATCATCATCATTATCAGATAGAGAAGAGTTGCAAGATCAAAAACCATTCAGTTTAGATGTACGTGTATTGGATAGTGCCGAGTCGGCAGCACAGAAATTTTCATTGAAACTTCGTATTGAAGAAGATTTGGATCGTGAAACACATCCTACTTATGAATTAATGTTATATGCTATTGATGGCGGGGAAACAGTTCAAGCTCATGCTGGACGACATTATACACCAACACATGGGATTTATTCACCTCCGAATATATCAAATCGGCATACAGGATCAGTGCTGATACGTGTATTACTTATGGATAAGAATGATAATGCACCGGTATTTAAAAATCCTAATCAAATTATTGTTATTCCAGAGAATACCAAACCGGGTACAGTGATCTATCAAGCAATAGCAAATGATTTAGATTCTTCAGATCAAAATTCTTTAGTTTATAAAATTGGACCATCGGCTAGTGCAGAAGTGTTGCGATGTTTTCGATTGAATCCGGATACAGGTGAACTAATCTTGATTATGCCATTAAGTTATCAGAATGCTAGTATTCTATCGGCAGACAGTGGTAGTAGTAACATAGTGGTAAACAACTCAAACAATAGGCTGTTGGATAGTGTTTCCAATAATTTACCTTTAATTGGTCATCGAATACCAATTCAAGTTAGTGATCAAATACATATTACAAAAATGACACTTATAGTTAGTATTAGAAAAATCAATATGAATCCACCAACCATTCATATAGCATCACATTTACGTTTATCTTCAAGAGGTAATCATATATGGCTATCGGAAGATGCTCAACTCGGTTCGCTGGTCGCAATGATCAATGTGGTGGATTCCGATGACCTCATACCACAGAGTAGTAGATCAAATCAACTCATGGTAGGGAAAGAAGTCAGATCGGAATGTCGTAGTAAACATGATTCATTTGAAATTGTTCCGCTGCACACTATGACTAATTCCGACTTTAAATTATTACTTAAAAAATCATTAGATCGTGAGGTGAAACCATCGCATAATGTTAAAATTGAATGTTGGGATAGTGGTGAGCCGCCGTTGACAGCTGAAACTAGTATCCTGATACAGGTGGATGATGTGAATGATTCACCGCCCCTGTTTGATCGTCCATTTTATTATGCTAAAATTAAAGAAGGTCTTGATCCTTCTACACCAATTATACAAGTACATGCTAGTGATGCTGATTTAGGCATAAATTCTGAAATCATATATCGACTAGTTGCACAAGAATATACATTAGCTACTGCTTTACCTGACTCACTGTGTTCCTCAATGAATTCACTTCACACTGAACATAATCTAATATCGATCAATGAGAATACTGGCGAGTTGATGAGTCAAATCGCGTTGGATCGTGAAAGTATTGCATTGATCAATTGTACCGTGGAAGCAATCAATCGAAATCAGTTGTATTTAACAGATAATGATAATAATAATAAGAGGAATGTGTTGCATAAAACTTCCACACAAATTATTATTACCATTGATGATTTAAATGATTGTAAACCAATGTTCAATGAATCATCTTATGAGTTTACTGTTGTTGAAGGTCAAAAATCACATTATCAAGTAAGTGGCTGATTGATTGATTGTTTGATTTATTAAGAGATATGTGAAAGAGTGAACTGAAATGAATTGTAGTACTTGTGTACTGAAGGGGAACATAGGTGAGGGCAACCGAATTGTATTTAACGAGAATTACAGAGTTACTCAGTAAAATAGGAAAACCATATCGTAAACGGTCAATTTGCAAATCTTCAATCCATCATCAATCCATTGTCTGACATTTCACTCACTATTCATGCGTTTCATACTAATTCGATTGTGTTCCCACTCTTCTTACTTTCTTGATCTTCCACCCATCTTCTGCTGTCAGATATTACGTTGACACTCACGTCATATACTACTTATAAGTAGCGCGCATCACACTTGGGCAGCTAATCCTTTTATTAGATGAGTACAATAGTTAATTGATTGTGTGAAGTGTGATTATGTTTTAGAAACTAAAAACTAAAAAAAAATTCATCATCAGTTAGTTTTGAAATAGTTTTTCTGTTTGGGTGTTTGGAAATCATGGTAGAATGTATTGTTTGATCTTAGATTTGTACTGTTTGATACTTTGCAACACGGTTAATTTTTAACTGATCCTCCCTTGGATTGAGAAATTGTATCAATTAGCGTAAAACCTAGAAGAGACCTTATTACTAAGTTATTTTGAACAATTGATAACCCGTTATTCAGTTAAGATATACATGTTGGTTCATCTCTGAATAGTAATCAATAACATATTTATTAGTTCCTAGAATCACACTGATCAAGTCCAAGTGTGGTTAGTAGTTCTCATTACTTAATATCACATCTTAAATAGCTAGATGGAGTCAACGCGGAGCCATGCGCTTTAGTTGACTAGAGTGAACATCCACTCCGGGATGCACGTACATCCAGTTACAGACGAGCACCGAATCGGACGGAAAACATGCATCCTGAATTCCACCGCACATTACTACATAAAGTTGACTAATAAGTCCAGTGCAGTAAACGCTTCAGGCATTATTTTTCTTTTCAGCCCACTATTTTGGTCACAACTAAAATCTGAAGATAAAAATGTGACGGAAATTTTGCTTTGAAAATTAATTCCTTTACAGAAAATGTCGATTAGTTTTAAATGAAACTTTTAAGAATTCAATTAAACTAGACAAAAACAATTAATTAATTTTTTTTAGAATTTCCTAAACAGTTTACAAAACGTTTTTGAATGAATTAAAAGTAATTGTGAACAGTTTGTAGAATAATTCCATTCAAAATAGATCAGTAGAAAATTACGTCATTTTAACTAACAATCGAAACGGTGCATTCATTAATTGTTGTTCAGATTTAATAAGCATGAAAGAAATTAAACTAAACACCAATCATTGTTAGATTAGGACCGTTTCGTCCTGGTATGGGACTCATCAACAGTGCGTATCGAAGACTCCTGAACCTCACAGGATTCGAACCCGTGACCTTCGGTCTTGTGCGCGAACGCCTAACCTCTGGACCACTAGGCCGGCATCCAGGTCAAACTCTGATTGATCATGGTATTTCGCGTGACCTCACCCATTTGTCTTTTAGTAGTTACTGCCTACACTCGACAAGGTTGAACTCCACTAGTTACATCTTCTCACTAGAACTCCGAGAATTTCTTCACAAAGCTTCTAACTAGTAAGCACATTTGACGAGTTAGGTAGAAACAATAATCTCCATAACTCTAATTGAAAAATCGTTTCTTTTTTACACATTTATTCTAAACTGTCTAATTAAATCATATTATTACTGTTTAGTGTCTATATAATGGATGTTTAACACTGAAATTTTAATCACTCTCTGTTATCTTCTGTGCATCCAGTGTAAATTGTCACAATGTCTCAATGATATCGTAGTGACATCCAATTCACTAAGTTCTTATGAAGACAAAATGTTTATCTTTTATCCTACTGGCTATCATAATCCGTCTAATTTATGAATTGAATTAGTTGTGCAAAAGATAAATGAGACAAGTCAAGAAAACATCTGTCTTAGCTTTAAGAAACGTTTTTCATCATTTCAAATCCAGGTCACATTTCATTTGGTTTATCTGTTATACAACAATATATATTTTTGTTAACAGAAATGGATAGTCGTCAGTGATGGCATTCAGAAAGCGAGTTTCATCTTGTTTGGGACTCGTCTTTAGCTGGATGCACATTTAACGACAATGTCGAGGCAATTTGCACAGGTTGCACAGGATGCTAAAGGAAGACTGATCAGTTACAGTGCTCAACATCAATAGAACGAGTCACATAACCGATGCAAATGTAAAAAAAATGACATGATCAGTGGAGTTCATCCCTGTCAGGTGTAGGCTGTAACTACCATAGGCAATGGGTGAGGTTGCGCAAAATCCTTAGATTGATCAGAGTTAAACATCTAACATCGCTAGGTGCTGGCTCAGTGGTTCAGAGGTCAAGTGTTCACTATCAAGACCAAAGGTCCTGGGTTCGAGTCCCGCGACTGGCAGGAGTCGTGTATGTGCATCGCTAATGAGTCCTATACCAGTGTTTCCAGGTTTCTGACAGTGGTCTAAAAATTATTCATTTGTGATTTTAAGGTAAGAAAATATCTACTGTCTTCCTTTCTGTACATACACGTCGGTAGACTGAGATTTAACTTTGACAAGTCACACAAATCCAATTAGTCACCATACAGTCCAATCATGTTGTAAGCAACACTGACTACTTATCCAACCATTAAGGATTTATCAATTCCTTTCGTATAGATAGATATAAAGGGGAAAAAAAGCACAACTATTATGCCATATTTTTTTTTTTTAAAAAAAACTTATAATTCCATTATTCTTAATCCATTCATCATCATTCACTGAAACATACACAAACTAATACCAATAGATGATTATAATTTCATTGACCTTTAACAAATTTATTTTGTATATCAACTTGACTGCTTAGCAATCTCTTCTACATTCTCGATAATCTAATTCTAGGAGATTTTTTTTTCTTTCACTTATTTGCCTTCAAACTACATGAATTACACTTGTTGTAATGAATGTATTTTTGATTAGGGATTTCAAAGGAAATTGCATGTACCACTGTATACAGGGCCAGGGAGAACACACGTATTGATTATATCGATCAAACTTGAAGAAGTGTGTGTTCGTTGCACGTTGTGTGTGGTGTGTAGGTATGTGTGTGTGTGTTGGTGGTCTTTTTTTCCTATGTATATATATTCGATGGCATACATATGTACATATGTGCGTCTATGTGTGTGTATTCATTCAAAACTACTGACATACATACAGACACTCCTCACACACACACACACACGCATACATATGTATATATGTGTACACATATACATACACATATGCATACACATAGATAGATAGACAGACATAGTGCAACATCAATTTACTCAGCAATGATTTTCTTTTTTCTTTTTTTCTCGTGAAATATTTTATTTATTTATTTTTAATATATAAAAATGTAAATTGCACACAGTCATAATTCATAATTCATATTGGTATGTTCGAAAAGGTTATTCTAAACTGAACTGAAATGTACATATTTTTTCTGATTGGATTATAGTGTTGCCTGTATGAAAACATGCATTGCGTTTCGCAGATTAGTTTGATTATAGAAATGAATATTTTTTTTCGATAAAATATGTAATATATTTGAAGAAAAAAATAAAAATAATAATAATAAATTCTTTTAAGATGTAAAGATTTTTTTTTTGCAGAAAAGTTTTTTTGTTTTGTTTTAGTAGTGATTGACTGTGATTTATGTAGCAAAAGTGTAAAACCTACTACCACCTACTACCACCTAAATATTCATACGCCATACAAATTACTTATTTTTTGTGAATGAGATAGGATTCTGTCTGGGTAACGGAATCGAAGTAGGTGGTTTTCTTAGAGAGTGACATCCCCAGGCCTTTCAAACTATAGTCTAATTGACAAGGCAGTGGAACAGTGTCAGGAGATGTAGTTCCATGGTAGCCGCTAACTGACATTCGTTTCATCAGGATCCTGAAGCCTATGTGCACTGTTGGTTTGGAATCAGAGTTTTCCGACTCTCCTCGGTAGATCCTCCCTGAAACTCACTAACCCACCGGAGATTTGCTTTTTATCGTTTTTAATTTCATGAAGAACGCCACTGTTGCGAGAGAGCATTGACTAGAACTTTTCTGGAATTGGCTATATGTACATGAGTACATGAGAGCGTTTGAGTGCGAGAGAACCCTCTTCGCTCTTTATGGTACCAGGGTATTTGGAGGCAATATATATATTTCAGGTATGAATGTGATTGTAATAGCCTTTTTTGGTTTGTCCAGAAACGACATACAATTGCGTCATGAAAATTTTCATCTTCATAACTATTACAGGTGTTGAGGATGTTAGATCCTTAGAACTCGGTTGATAAATATCTTTATTTTGAATTTATTTCATGGACAGATCAGCTGACCTTGAGATCACATTTCCCACCAGAGAAATCCTTGGCTGTGACTGTTTACTGTATCATTTTAGTGTGCTATTTTTGTGACTGTCTCTATAGAGTATAAATGAACGCAATTCGAGTGCTTGAATTCATTGTATGCTGGCTGGGTGTTTGTAGAATATAGTTTCTGCACTATATCACGACTTCTTGCTGATACCTGTTTGGTCAAGGGATCACAATAGCCTACTTGGACGCTAGTTCATTGTTTTGTTCTCGTTAGTCGACTAAGGTGAACTCGTAATAGTTTTAAGCATGCCCAGAGATGAGCGTAACAACAAGTTATCGAGCATTCTACATTCTACCGTAAAACATACACGAAGCTGTATTTAAAACAAATTTGTTTTAATATTAAATACGTGACTTAGTGTATTTGAATAAGCTTATAATTTATTTATTCTTGTAATTAAACAATATGTGACTGAATCAATTTGATTGTAATAAGTTTGGAAAAAAAGTAGTTTCACGTAATCGTCATTTCCTGTTTTTTGTTAACCAACCTGTTCAAACTGAAAATTACTTTTCAACTTAAAGATAAAA